AAAAAAAAGGACCAAGCCTTAGACAAGATTCAAATTTAACTTCACTACTACACACGCACATATATGTATTTGTACTTTCTTCATAATCTTTTTCCTTATAACCATTAACCAAGCACCCCATCAAAGCTCAGTCGAACACTCCGAACTCTGCCTCGAGCTCAACGGAGGCGAAGGCATTGAACCGAAGGGCAAAACGGTCAAACACCTCACGAAAAACCGATACCTACCCGAAACCCACGTCCCGATCTTCCACCTCAGCTTCCCCTCAACCTTAAATTCGAAAACCAATCTCCCTATCCCCTGATCTCGCCTAACCTCGTACGCGAAAGACGGGCCCACCGGAAATTGGGCCCCGTCCAAGAAAGCGCTTATCACATTCGACTCCTCGTGTTCTTGATAAAAAGGGGAGATAAAAGTTTCGGGCGTAATTTTTTCGCCTTTGTAGGATGCGTATACGGAGAGTTGGTCGTAAAAGATGCCGACTTTCTTGTTTGGATTGTGGGATTGGATTGTGAGCTGGATTGAGGAGTTGAGGAGTGAAGAGGATGGGCCCGAAAGGTTGAGCTGGTTGACGAGGGCCCGTTCGATGGAGAATTTGGGCTTTGTCGGGTGGAGGACGAGCCAAACGAGGAATATGAGGGAGAGAATGGAAAAGAGGAGTGTGGAGAGGTAGAGGTAGAGCTTCTTGTTCAGCTTTGGGAGGTTGAGGGATTGTTTGTTTGCACAGTGTTTGGGGGATTTTTCATGGATTTGAGACATTTGGAGAGAGGGAGGGAGAGTGAGAGAAATTTTTGGTGTGATGAGGGAAATTGGGTGTTGAGAATTGAGATGATATGGGATTTATAAAGGGGTTCCAAAAAATGGGGTAAAAATGAGGGGGAAAGGGTGCAATTATTTTGATGTTAAGCTGCTTTTTGAAATTTGATTGTGGGGGAAATAGTTGATTTTTTTTTACTTAGTAATTTCTGCAATCACAAAAAAAAAAATATTATGTAGTAGTTAACGGCGTGTTTGGATACAAATATATCCATTCAAAACGTTTTTTTTTTTTGCTAATAAGGATTAGTTTTATAAAATGTGGTATGCTTAGTTGTTAGTAGGATTTTGAGTTTATATTAAAATAATATTTAAAATAAAATAATTAAAGTTAGTTAGATGTAAAATTATGAGAGAGATGATGTGAAGTGAGGTTTAGTTAAAATTATATGAGTTGATTGATAGTGAATTAAAATTGATGTGATTTGTAAGAATTATTAATTGGTATTATTTAATTGATAGTTGTTGACCACCGACTTGGTAACGCACAAAATATCCAAGTGATAATTAGACTTGGACGTTTTAGAACATATAAGGGACGAGTTTATAGCAAAGTCGGCCTTAATGACGATGATTTCGACTTATCTACACGCATAAAGACAGTTCATTAAAGAAACCGGAGTCGCTTCTTTTTTCACCGACGTGACCAGTGACCTCGGTCAATACCAAACTCCCAAACTTTCTTCACCGACGTGACGACTGACGTGGAACGAGACATAACTCCTCAAAACCAAAGCAGGTGACGCTGCGCCTACGCGACACCCTTGCATGCCGTGAAATACGTCATGATGATTTGCGGGCCCAACTACCTCAACCGCCTCTTAAAGATGCTTTATGCGCGACACTAATAATGAGTGGTCCTCGAAATGTATGTGCAAAAAAGTTACTACAAATAGGTCGGGACTTTCCTTGGTAGGGGAGGGGAGACACTCTGTAACAACATCTACTCGGTTACAAAAAAAAACGATTCCATAATTACAAATAAAATTATTAATTATCCAAATTTCATGTCTCGAATCACTTAATCACATGCTTATTACGTTGCTACAAATCGTATGACAACAATAGTATTAAGTATGAGGTTGAGTTAAAGTTAAATTATATTTTAAGTATGAATTGTGAGAAATTATAAACAAACACACTCTAAGTAGTATTTTTGAGGTCCTATGCATAAATAAGACTAAGGGTTGAGGCCCATGGCGGACAATATCGTACTAATGGATTATGTCGTCCACGAGACTTATAAATCCCAATCGGAAAATGGCTAATCGTATTTTTTTTTTATTCTATTGTTGGTTTGAATCTAGCAAATTTTAGACCATTTTTACAATTTTTTCTTAAATTTTCACTAAAACTCTTGCTTCCCAACACCAAGAAAGATCATAGTATAAATCAGGATTCATGATGATTCATGAATATCCCCTGTCACGCATATGCTTCACTAGTATATCTTGAAGATCAATCAATTTTTCCATCGACTTAATTGACACATATTTTAGTTTGACAGGAATCTATTAGAATGGAGCTACTTTAGGAATTATTGGGATGAAAAAGTTAATCACTTTCTAAAGTGCCAAGAGATAGAATAGCCACAAGCTCCCCTAATAGCCTTTTTTCCCCCATTTTATTAGAGTTTAAAAAAGTGTGCAACTGTCTAAAACTCAAGAGGGTTTCATTTCACCCTCCAACCCCAGTGTAGTAAAAATGATTAGTTAAGAAAATAAATGTGGAATTAAAGCAAGACAGAGAGAATCTGAGAAAATTGATTTTATGATCACTTATTAGATATATTAATTAATTAAAATGGGGGAGGAAGAAAAAAAAAAGGTCCACCATTTGGTCTATTGCTTTTGAGTTAAGAAAAAAGGGTGTAGGGTTTAGGTGAACATTAGCTGGGCTCTCAAGTAATGTTAATTTTTGATGACATTTTGGACTCTTATTGTTGAATTTATGTGTGCATGATTGTATGCTCTTTTTTTTATGTATTTATTTGAAAATTATTTAATGTATCCTTATAGGTCATTGAAATAATGTGTTCTATTAGGTACCCTAATCATTGTCACAACATATTATTTTTGAAAATTTATATACTTTTATTCATAAATACAAATATGATACTTGATAGTATAAGTATTCAATTTTCAGTAGATATGATTTTCTTGAATATGCGTGATGTGGCGACCCTTTCAAACTTCCAAGAGTTGGGATTCTTGTTAATTTAAGAGTGTGAATATTAAATATTTTACCGTAAAACTTCTATTAGGTAAGTTCAATTGTTACTCAATCGAACATTTTCAATAACAGTATGTCATTACGTAACATAAATATGTATTTTTATTATAATATTATAATATGAAGGCCTTTTTCAGTTATTAAGTCCTTCAAACAATCAAGGAGAAAGTTTGGGTGCACCCCATAACTGTGAGTGATTTCTCATCTGAAGTTGCCTTTCTTTTTGAAAATTTTGTCCATTTTACTTTGATTTGGGACCCCCAAGCCCAGGACCTGTCTATACATATTTCTTCACAATGTAAAAAAGGGACTTTTGGTTGCTTAATTTTTCCAAGTCATGGTTACTAAGACTATATTAGTATGCTTGGAAATTATAGTGCCTAAAAAATGTTCCAAAAGTTGCTTTCCCAAATGGCTTGTTGAATTTGTGCCTGCATGTTCAACAAAAAGTGGTTATAATAATGTTTAACATACACATGTCCTCTTTTTAATGTACTTATATTTTGTATGTTCTTATAATAATAATAATAATAATAATAATAATAATAATAATTGACCTGATTAATTATAAATTTACTACATGCATGATGCATCACACATTTTACCTTCATATCAGTATATTTTTAGAACTTCATGTGAAAATCTTGTGATTGGATATGGATTTGATTGGTGTTTTTAACCATAGTTAATTTTGAAAAATATGGAATGATTAGTTGTTAGTGGGTATATTAAAATAATATTTAAAATAAAATAATTAAAATTAAAATGATATAAAAATAGAAAAAAAATGATTAGAAGTTATGGTTAGTTAAAATTATGTGAGTGGAGAATAGTAAATTAACGTTGATGTAATGTGTAAGAATGATTGGTTGATATTGTTTAATTATATTGATAATATTAAAGATAGTGAGGTTGGGTTAAGTTGAATTAAATTTGAGTTTTGATTTTTATTTTTTTATTTTGTTAAGTTTATAACCAATCACACTTAGGATTCGCTTGTTTACTAAATAATTTGTCCAAAATGAGTTATTTTGGTTAACTATAGTTAATTTTGAAAAATGTGGTATGATTAGTTGTTAGTGGAATTTTAAGAATGTATTAAAATAATATTTAAAATAAAATGATTAAAATAAATTTGATGTAAAAGTAGGAGATAAATGATTGAAAATGATAGGTAGTTAAAATGAAAAATGCTACAAGTACATATATAATAAATGTATATAGAGGTGTACATAACACTCACATAGAGTGGGGTCCACTTAATTTTTTATTTTTAGTCGGTCCCACTCAATGTGAGTGTTATGCACTCTTAAGTACAACAATATTATGTATCTATAACATTTCTCAATTAAAATTATGTGAATCGATGAATAATGAATTAAAGTTGATGTGATGTGTAAGAATGACTGGTTTGTATTATTTAATTGTATGAATAATATTAAAGTTAGTTGGGTTGTGTTAAAGACTTATAGTTGAATTAGATTTTGAGTATAAAATATGAATTGAATTAGAGTGAAATAATTTATAAACAAGCATGGCCTTAGTATCTCTAAATTATATTATATTCCCTATTAAGTGGTAAAATCTATAATACAACTGAAAATATGTATGTTTTTCTTCAAACCTAAAAGTTTCAAAATTTCCAACTCAATGCACATTATTTCTACTATGTGTGGCGCATGCTCATCGAGTAGTGGAATTTATGATTTGGCCCCTGCCCAATGGACTAGTGTCCCTTTGCGTGATAGAGATTAGAGAGTGAAAAAAAAATAAAATAAATGAAAATAAAAGGGGCTAAAGAAATTATGGAAATTGACTCTTGAGTTATGGGCGACCATTTGATAATAAGCTCAAAATAAATAAATAATAAGCAAATAAAGCTTCTTCACTTTTTGCTTCCAAAGATATTGGCAGCTTTTATTTGCCCTGGCTTGCTCAGTCAAATATTTTTTCAATTCTTAAACCATTTCCTTAGCCCCTACTCAAAGTTAAAAATAATTAAATAAATAAATATATTGACTCACACTTGTTTTATGTACAGAACCCTAATTTTGAAAATATTTTCTAAATACTAACGCGTAAAATTTTTCAGTAACCTCTCTATGTTTTCCCTTTTATGCAATGTGTGGGCAATAAAGTTTTCAAATAATGACATGGTATTCTATGAGATCGTTTGAGTATTTATTTCTTTTTGCATATAAATGATATAAATATGCGAAGGAGCTCATAGTTTGGTCAGTTAAGAATTGCATGTTGCATAAATCTCATGATAATCATAAACTATGTAACAAAATCTCATACTAATCATAAATTAATTTGCATGTTGCATAAATCTCATAATATTCATAAATTACTTAAATGAGCCATTTGAGAATTTCAAATAACTTGTTACTATTAGTTATACCAACCAATCAATGGAACGTAATAAATAGAAAAAAGCATTCATGGATAAGACAAGTGTTATCTTGAAATGAGTGGTCATGACAAGTCACCTTCAAAACAGGGACAAAACAAACAAACAAATAAAATAAAATAATAATAATAATAATAATAATAATAATAATAATAATAATAATAATAATAAAAGGCAAGCAGCAGAAACGAAGAAATGAAGAGAATGCCCAAAACAGCCAATCACAAGAGCAAAAATTGACTGTACAACAGAGTTACATATTTATATGTCAGATCTTATAACTGAATATGGTGTTAGAACTTATTAGAATCACTCAGTTCATCTATCATCTATATATTACTTACATGACCNTTAAAACATGGTTCTTGGATTTTCATCAAACTGTCACAAAATCATATAAAAAAAATGGATTAATTTTGCTTGTACGGTTTGTACCTTCTTCTCGAAGCATCTATCTTTCCTCTTCATACGAAACTTATTTAAAGCGGCCTCTCTCTGCATGGACCGTTTAGATGCCTCATCAACAACACGTGAGCTCTCTTCATGACCGGCATATTCTGAAGGGCCCTTGATGACGTGGACTGTATTGCCACTACATAAATTGCTATTACCACTCTCATCATTCCCAGATGAACCGAGCCCATTTTCCGGTTTATTCTCCGGTTCAACAATTGAACTACCAATGTTTTTTTTATCTGTAATAACCTGCTGATGAGAACTGGCCGGCTGATTTTCTGATAGGTGGTAAAATAAGCTTGACTGTGGGAAAGATTCGGTGTGGTGAGGTGTACTGGGGCTCGACAGTGAGGATGAGCCTGATTGGGCGCGGTAGAGTGAAGGTATAATGGAATTATTATAGGCATTGTTTGCATTTTCGAATCTTACGCCTTTGACTGGGATCGGATGAGATATTTCTTTGTTCTGAGAGTGAGAGAAAGAGAATGTGATTTGTTGGGGTCCTAATTGGATTGAGGGCATAGGAACGTGCTTTTCGGGGGCATTTTCTTGATCTTTTGATGGCTTGTTTATGTACCTGCACAAAGTGTTGTTTTTTTCTTCATGAGGCTACAGATTTTTTTTGAAGTGTAGATAAATAAAATAAAACTAGTTTAACTTTATCATAATTTCGAGCTCCATCTCAATCTCTCTTATTTTTTAATTGCAACAACCCAAATTTGCGTAAAACACACGTGTAAGTTTGGCAATCGGGCCAAAACATATTCAGAAAATATTGAAAACAAAAAAACGAAAGAACAAACAGGGAAAATGAGCTTACCTAGAAAAGGCCGATGCATCTGAATGGTTTAAATTTAATCTAGGCTGTTCATCATTTGATAGATTCAGAGAGTTACTGTGATGAGGCCTTCTCAAAGACAGGTCCAATAGAGGAAAAATGTCGAATTTGTTTACACTTGCGTTCGGAGGTGAACTTCTGAAATTTCCCTTTGAGTGATTATCAAAAGTTCCGATTAAATCGATGGCTTCTCTACAAGGATTCTCGAGGGCACGTGTTTTCTCAGCATTTATGTCTCCCACTGCATGTGTTTCTATATCAAGAATGAGATATTCGTGAAAAAAATAAAAAATAAAAAATTACATGAAGTATTTTGCTTCCACAAGGTGAAATGATTAATAATGTTTCAGATGGAAAAAATAAAAAATAAAGGAAGCCAGTAGGAACATCTACCTTTGGTCTCGTTATCATATGCTCGTTTTTCCATTTCTTGATGACAATCTTCCATAGCTTTTTGTTGCTGTGAGGTGCAATAGCCATTTTCAATCTCTTCTCCTTCAGTCTCCAACTCCGGTTTTGTGCATGAGCTCTGTAAAGATAAAATTAAGATACATTATTACATCAGTCTTGTATTAACCAAGATTCATCCAGTTATGCATGCTTTTGGGATCAAAAGAGAATAAATTAGGACTAATCACAAAAAAAAAAANCCTGAATTATTTAAAACCAAAAAAAAAAAAAAAATTAAAAAAAAAATCAAGTATCTCTGGGACTTAATTTTGTATTTACTTTACAAATTTCACCTTTCGACTTTTGAGAGGCCATTATATCTAATATCCAAAAGGTATCAATGATCTATTAAGATTTTTCTTAGTTTATTATCAGGCTAAAATGCATGGAAATTCGATTAAATCTGAAAGAAATTAAGAATTGAGGTGACGAAAATAGAATATACCTGATCATCACTTCCCTTTAAGGTGCACTGCTTATTTCTCTGAATGCACGATACATGACCACTTGAATGGTTACTAATGGCATTGTTCTCATCAGTAGTTTCATCCTTTTGTTGTACACTCTCGTCTGGAGGTCCAAGCCCAGCACCAGTGCTCGACTAATGTTTCATTACATTACAAAAGGAGCAAAAGAAGATCAATACAATATTTTCAGGACAGTTAACTTTATACGACAGTAAAAAGTAAACAAACTAGTGAATAAAATGACAATTATAAGAACTACCCCATGATTTAGCCCAATTAAGAAAAAAAATATAATTGTAGTTTACGAAATATAACTGGACCTTTTCAAATTAGGTATTAGGATACGCAAGAGGGGTGGTTTCATAAATTTTTTTCCCACAGAAAGAAAAAAAAAATGTGGTTTGAGCTTACAGCTTGTTTTCTCCATACATGCTGCCATAAATTCCTCAGCTCGTTTTTTCTGATGGGCTTCACGAGAAAGTCAGCCGCGCCTTTCAGCATGCACTTATAAACTGTACTAACCGAGTCTTGTGATGACATCACTGCATTTCCCAAATAACAACAAGTGTATAAGAAAGAAACCAATATAGAAAGAAAATGGAAATATTCATCGAATATAACATACTTATTACAGGGATATTTTTGCAGGCCTCGTGCTCCATGATTAGAGTGAGAAGTGCATATCCAGAGATCAATGGCAACTCGACTTCTGTTAGAATAAGGTCAATGTTACATGGACTTCCTTTAAGTACTTCCCATGCTTTTAAGCCGTCAGGAACTGCAGCAACTGCTTCCCACAAAAATAAGAATGTAATAACAGTCAAATCGAGCAATCATTGACCATATAAGTATTCGTTCTGCAAATATTCTATCCAAGTGATGTGCAGTCATATAAAAATGCTGACTTTTGCTTCCGGTTTGACATTATTTAAGCACAATCTAGAAGATTGGATTCCTTTTTTTTTTTTTTCTTAACCTGTACTTTAGATTGAGAGCTTTGCTTTTAGTTCTGAATTTTTGTGTGCAAATCAAATATAACATTAATGTTCACCAATCACACCAACTTCAAACTTGTTCAACTTTTAATACCTGCCTTTTTTTATTCTGAACTACTTTTCGTTTTAGTTACAACATCAGTTTGAAGTTTGAACATTCTTTGCCAAATCATGTTATTTTTATCAGGATTAAAAAGCATTTGACAAATCTATATACTCTAGATATTTGACGTACAATATAAACAGCAAAACTCCAATTCTCCGAGAAAATATTATGAAATTTAAGTATCAGTATCGTGATTCGTGGATTGTAAACGAAAGAAAGGGTCGAAAGTTTAGTTGCTTGAATAGAATAAGAATTAAGAACATGTCAATTTAAACTTCCGACCACATTAATTAATCATCTGCCTTTTTAAAGACTATAAGTATTAATAAACCCCAAAACAGACCAAACTACACAAAATATTGTATGCCTAAAAACAATTTAAAACTCAAATTAGCTGAAGAGTAGTGTATCAACTCTTCCACATAATGAATCAAATGAATTAACACATTTAACCAGCACATATACTCTCTCAACCCTTAATCCTCAGAATCAAGATTTCATCTTTTCACCTCAATCACAAAAACTAAATCAAATCCCAAAAAAAAGAATTTAAAAACCATAAAACAAACAAACCTCTGTAACTGCATTTCCTGAGAAGGGCAGCAATAATCTGCCGAGTGGAATCATCGGCTTCAACCAACAACACTCTCACCACCATTTTCGGAAGAAACCTCTCCCACCTCACGACCGACGAACTTCCCGACGCCGCTGCCACCACCTCCGCCGTAGCCCCGCCGCCGTCCACCGCGATCTTCCTGTTTCTGCCGACGAGATTTTGTGCTTCAACCTCCGCCCCGATTCCTTCTTCACTGCTCACCACAACTTCCCCCATTTTTCGCCAAGATTCAATTTTTCTCTTTCCGGAGAAAGGGAATGTGGAGTAATCGCTCTCAGTTGAAATTTTTGGATATTTTTAGTTTTTCACCATTACTAATACGTTTTGTAGAGCTCTTATTTTTTTCCTGCTTTTTTTTTTTCAACTCAAAATATCTGAATTTGGAGGTCCCATTTTTCTTTTTTATTTTTTCTTGAATTTTGATCCTGTGGCTGGTTTTTACTGGGCCTTCTCTAGCCGCTGCCACATCTGATGGCTCATATTAGTTGTCACTATTTTTGCATTATTTTGCACATTGTGCCCTCAATAAATCATAATTATGCTTCGCGCCCCAGGCCTTTTGTGTTTTCCGAATTTTTTGCCAATCTAACTAGATTTTTCATTCACCAAATCTACTATAAGAATAAGAAAGTTTTATAAGAATATTTGAAATATCTCGAAAACAAAACTTCAAAAAATCCTTAATATCAATAAAACATGAATATCCAAAATAGTTATAATTATCAAATGTATTGAGCCACTTGTGGGCTCAATTCGACTCGGTTTGGCTTATTAATTCGACTTTAACTTGTTAAGACTCGTGATTGATTCGGCTCGACTCATTTCATTTAATAAATGAGCCTAGCTCGATCTCGTATAATAACTTGTTTAATTAACGAACCAAATCTGATTCATGTCGTTAGATTCAAAAGATAAAATATTTTACGTGAGTGGCTGAAGTGTTTATTTAGCTCAAGTTGTTATGTTTCAAATCCGACTCGTTAATTTTGATAAATAAGTCGAGATTGAGCTCGTTTACGGGTAACATTAATTATCGCCTCGACTTGATAAATATTTGACCATGAATTCAAACATTAGATGTTCTCAAAACATGTAATGTTTGGTCATGACTCACTTGCAACTATGGTGCGATCCAAAATATATTTTATATGAGTTTACCTTTTCATGAAAGACGGAAAAAAATGTAATATCTATATTAAAGGTAGATAGATTTACTAGGAATTATCAAATACTTACAACATATGGGGCTAAGATCCAATATACACACATTTCTGGGTATATTGTGAGGTACCTATAGTTCTTTGGGGGTCAAAATGTCAATACACACTACTTCTCGGTGCAAAATCCAAAGCGATAAAATATCTAGAACGGTCATATGAGTGGCTCAAATTGGGTACGTCCGTAAATCTACCAATCAAAAAGTAGAGGGCCTAATATTCTTCACATATATATTTAATTATTTACATTTTTTTTTTTTTTTTCAAATAGCATTAGGCCTATTCGGGGCTGGTGATGCAAATCTAATATATTAAATTGCCAAAATATTTCAAATCAATGGACCATATTAAACCCTCATCCAATTGGAATAAAAACTACGCTTTGTAAAGATATTTATGTACGGAACACAACTTGCGAATGCGGGGCCCACGCGAAGATATTTTTGACGTTCGATGGATAGAAATCTGACACGTGGACGCAATACTAAATATCTTACTTTTTGTTTGTGGCGTTCGAGTTGCCCAAATGCGTTGCTTATCTTCATATTTTTCCCAGTTACTAATATTTATTTTCTCTTTACTTTAGCCAAAGTTGACGTTAGCTAGTAACTCGTGTCGAGTTTTTTTTTTGTTAGAATATCTTTTTTATTAATAATTTATCTTGTTGAGTTGTATGTGTTCATCCTTTATAATATAGGATTTGGATAAAAAAAAATGAAAGCAATCGAATTTAATCAAACAATAAAACATGACCTAATTTTAGTATATATGTTTTAAATGGTTGGACTTCAACTCGAGTTCTTGATACTTGAATTCAAATTCAGTGATTTGACTCGAGAAGTTGGCGGGCCAATAACTAAATTGATATATAATAAAATTTCACAAAATTAAGTAAACAAAAAATACTTACTAAACATAAGGAGTCTTATATGAGCTCAATAAACTAGACAAATCGAACCAAACTCAAAGTGGCATGTTTCATTTAGCAACTTTGTTTTCAAACTTTATTTATTATAATAATAGCAAATAAATTTGGTAGATACAAATAGTGAAATTAACGTAATTGATGGCTTTGTCCATATATATAGTCTTTCCTTTTGTAGAACTTATAATATTTGGAGGAGACAAAAACAATGTGGCTATGTTTAGATGTTAGAGGTTTGCCTCGTCAAATCCGCTAATTCATTTATTTAGTAAAATAGCTTATTTATTTGTTTAGCTTAAATTCCTAATTATAAAAAGACTCAATATTAGAGCATTTTAATAAGAGAGAATTCATAAAAATGATATGTCAACATATTTTCTTTAAATAATTGTACAATCTTTTATTATGAAACAATTATTACAAAGAATTAATATAATGTGCTACTCGAATCAACTGTACAATTAGTACAATCTTTTATTATGAAACAATTATTACAAAGAATTAATATAATGTGCTACTCGAATCAACTGTACAATTAGCTATCCATCGTTCACTGTCGGCTAATTATGCTTGGCCTCTATGTTAATCAATGCACAGACATTGTTTTTCTTGTTCCTCGACGTAGTAAAATAAAGTTTCTCAAATATGACGTAATTATTGAAATATTGTGACGTATAAATGCGGTAGATGCATTGACAATAAAAAAAAAAAAAAAAAATTTAATCCAAAATGTTGGACAGCCTTTATGGCCTATAAAACCTCACTGTCCTAGATTTCCTTCTCCTTGGTCAACCCCCACGGCTACTGGGTAGCCCAAATATGGCAGGCCCTTGGGCTCATCGACCCAAACCCAAACCAAGTACAGATGATAAAAGTAGAAGCATCCAATATAGCCGAAAAGAAAGTGTATGTACCATAGTTGGGGAAATGGGCCAAAAACCCATTAAAGGATAGGTGAATTCGAGCTGTATTAAGCCTCAAAAACTCCAAAACTTCCTCAAACAAAATTGTATGCATAGCAGCAGCATAGGCAGATGAACCAAACGTTGTGTTTGACTAAAGTTTGGGATTTGATAGATGAACCTTATTAGTATACGTTGCATATCTTGTAAATATAACTTCATAATAATAACAATAATTATTTATTATTAATAATTATTTGTAATTATTACAATTAATATTTTAGTTATCTTATCCTAATATTATTTGCAAACTCACTCCCACTCACTTTTATATACCAAGCAATCCTTTAACTTGTAAAGAAGTCAAGCTAAACTCGAACTTCAGATACTCGAACTAGGATTTGAACCTTTCTTAAGCCGGTCTCGCTAATGTAAACTCACAAAAGAGCTTGTTTTGGGTCATTTATTAATATGAACAAGTCGAACTCAAATTTTAACGAGTTAAACTAAAATAAATATTCAAAAAATTATATAGTAAATTTTTTATCGAGCAACTCAACTCATCACCCAAATATTATGGAGTCAAGCCAAGTCGAACTTCAACCCCAAAACAAGTTGTTTCATTTAAAATATAAAATATATATCCAATTACTTATTTTAGATGGGGAGTGCGGACTTCAATTTTGGCCAATTTCACATATATAATAATAAATAAAATAAATAATGGAAAATACTGAAGTACTCACGTGTCCCCCTTACCACGCGTCCCCCTTATCCGATTCTCGATAATATAGCCAAAATTCGGGAAAAAAGAAAAGAAAAGAAAAGAAAAGAGAAATAGGAAAAGAAATTGTCACTACGGTGTCACCGTCTCGTTGATTTGTGAGAATTTCCCTGTTAATCTTCAAGAATATTCATCTCTGAAGTCCCGGAAAACAGTAAAAACTCGAAAACGAAAGAGAAAGCTTTATAGCTTAGCTAGGGGAAGTAAGAAATGGCTACACTCTTTGCAGCTCCAACTATGGAAAAGAGCTTTTTTCATCACCAGCTCCATTTTTCTTGGTCATCTTCATCTTCATCGTCTAGGTTATCAACCAGTTTTGGGTGTTCGAACAACAATCTTCATCCATTTTCTCAAAAGTCCAGTTTTTTGGGTTTAGGGCTCAAAACCCATGAGAAAATGGTGGTTAAAACCGGATTTAATGGAACTTTTGGGGTCAAAATGTCATGGGCTGGTCCTCTCTCCTCTGTGAAATTAATCCTTCAAGGAAAGAATTTGGAGGTACCCTTTTCTTCTTCATGCTCGATTTATAATGCCCCTTAACTGTTTGTGACTATTCCCCAATGATATTTTGTATTTCTTTAAAAACATGTTTGAAGAAAATGTAGTTGATTTTTCATTTTTTCGACTTTAATGATACACAATGAATACATTTTTTTGTGACTATACATACAGCTGTCCCCCTCTGTTAAAAGCCATGTGGAGGAGAAATTGGGGAGAGTAGTTCAAAAGCACAGCCAACTGGTAAGAGAGGTCGATGTCAAGTTATCTGCTCGTGGTGGAGAATTTGGGAAAGGCCCCAAACTGAGAAGATGTGAGGTGTGAAATTACAGAACAAAATGGACTTGAAGTTTTTTTCTATAGTTAGAGCATAATTAACCTGTATAGTAAGTTGTCTAAAATGGGATTTGCAAAAAATTATAGGTGACATTGTTTACGAAAAAACACGGTGTAGTCCGGGCAGAGGAGGATGCGGAATCCCTTTACGCCAGTATAGATTTGGTGTCCTCAATTATTAAGAGGAAATTGAGGAAGATTAAGGAAAAGGACACTGATCATGGCCGTCATATGAAGGGTTTTAACAGGCTCAAATTGAAGGACCCGAGTGAACTGGAAATTGTCGAGGATATTGAGATTGAGGAGGTTCCTAAAGAAGAAGATGATGAAGAGGACGAACAGGAAGAAGATACTGTGATTGAGGAGGTTATTTTTCTAATCTTATTGTGTTGCTTTGAGTATTATACTATTTATGCCTTGGTTATTGTTTGTTTGCAGTTGGTAATGTGTAGAGTATTTTGCATTAATTAACCCATGGAAAAGAAAAACAAA